TTGTATCTGTTCAAGTTGAAACACTAACCACCTCATGTGATTTAGCTGTAAATGCTTCTCTCTACTATCCATCTTCATTACGTCTGAAAAGTAAGCGAAGAAATTCACCTGTTGTTTCGCTTCCTATTGCATTATGTACTTAATACTGTGGTGTGAATTGCCTAAGTGTTGAAGCATTTTATTTGTTTGTTGACTTATTTCATATTTAATGAAAGTATCGTCATTCTATTTCAAATAATGCATGGCTTTATCGACTCTTTGGAATGGTTCGATTATCATTATCCTATCGGAAATTATGTCCAGATCAAGAGGAATAATTTCACCATCAGAAGGTTGATCAATCTGTATTCTTTTCTTCCCAGAATGATCTTTGGAAGTCGCGTAATTTCTTTGAACTTACTTAGATGAGATGCTTTAGAAAGTTGATGTTAGTACTTCATGGATTATTTTTCTTTGGCAAACAGTAACCTTCTTATGTCCAAAACGATGAGACTTTTGGCATTTATGCTTTTTAAATGGACAGAATTCAATGAAATGCTGTGGATCAAAATACCATCGAATCGAAAGATTACCTGGTGTGTTAATGACGCTTCGTCTGAAGACTGAGGAGATTTGACTGCATTAGCTATAACTATTTCAGAAGGCTGTGATTTATTCTCTGTCATACTTCAACTTGATTAAACTTTGACATACTGTTGTCACCATCTTCAAAGTTATTTTGACATCTTGTTCTTCGCTTTGCATCCAAATTGCCGAAGTCATCACCATCCGACCAGTCACCAATTTATTATTACTCTGACAATCAAACACATCACCCACTCACCTTCACTGAGCAAATTTTATTACATTCATTTACTCCTTTCTCCATCCATACTCGTAGTGACTAATCTTTCAGAATTAGTTTTTTTGTTATTATTGCGACAATGTGACTGATCCACTCATTCTCATAAGATAGTATTTTCACATAATTACGCAATCCCTTCTACTTATTTCTAACCTTAACTTACTCAATCGGGAACATTTCCTACATAACATGCAACTAATTTGACTGAATTTATTATTTGCACCTCATTCGTAGTCTGAAATGTGATTTTCTTTCTCATCTCCAAAACAATAACTGGCTTCTTAACACGCTCCACATAAGTATGTATGTTAATATTTGTTACAGTGATTATTTACTGATATTGCATGCAGTTGTGAAACTATGTGATGTCACTTTATTCTGAAAATGGTGTTCTCATTGTGTCGTTAAAGTTCATCACAGAACAGAAAGCATAATCTTTGTGTCAAAATAATCAATGTGAAGGGGTTTTCAGCAATGCTTATTTTGATTACTACTAAGTACTTCAAGTTGTAAATGGTTCAACTGAGATAATTTGTTTCGAAATATGAGTGTTCTTTTTACCAGTCGATGGATCTATCTACAAAAGTATTAACTCTAATATTCACACGATTCATCGTGTCTTTTATCGAAGTGATCCTCTCGTCCATTTCGTCAACACCCTCTGGAAAGTGTTTATTAACATACTCATATATATATCTTATACTATTTCATTCTGTGACTTATCTTACTAATGACTGTGTGTGTGTGTGTTGTGGAAGAAACGATCTACATACAATAGTCTGAAGGCTCTGTACTCTTTTTTTCAAACAATTTGTGTTGGAGTATCTGAAGGATGATGCTGTCAGTGTGCACACCTTAGCCATTTACGTCGATCAAGAGTGATCACCCATTTTAAATATGATGAACCACTGACTCAATACGAATTTGTAGTGCAGTCAATATTCACTGATCAATTGACCTTGCAAATCACCATAAGACGTTCTTCAGCTGGTCATAGAAAGCTAACAGTTTAGACTGAACATAAAGATGTCGAAGTGAATATTAGTACTGTGAGCGAAACCTCTCAACATCTGTGTTCGATATCGAAGTGTGTGTAGTAGTACTTACTGAGATTTTAATTGACTCGTGGGACAATCAACTCTCAGAGTGATCACATTTAATCATCCTAACTTTCGAAATTGCAACAAAACTGCCGATTCCAAGCAAAGATCACTTCCTAACCACTGTCTTAGTCGACAAATCTTCAAGCGGATTCGCAAACTATTGGGTTTATATAAGGGTATTCCAATGCAGCAATCTTTTGATTATATATGATCATTCGTGTGTATTGTTCTTATAACAACACCATTGTAACGCTGTTAAGTGAATGATACACAGTATTTAGTCGTTTTGGAGAAAATGACAAAGACCTAAAAACAACACCAGTCAGGTCTTCAGATACATCTGAAATCCCTGTTGCAATAGACAAGTATGCTCTATTAGTGCAACGGATAATTAGGATTCACCATCTCAGAGCTCTCTGTTGGATTTTTGAACTGCCCTATCACTTGTAGACACCTTTAAAAGTGATATGGTGGTGAATTTGGGAAAAATTCTACTCATTACATGGACTTTGGAAAATCATGCGCATACAATGAGTAGGTCTTTATCAGCCATCGCCCGCTTGCTTAATCTACTGTAATTGCCACAGCTAACTACTACATAGCTTTTTAAAAACCAAAGAAAATCACTTAGCAAACTTCTAATTTGTGGAAGGAATATTCAATTAATTCCTAACTATTTAGAAATTTCATGTCACAAACACGCCTTACTGACAAGCCCAACAGTTTTTCTAACTCTTCAGCTAACCCAGCTATGCCTCAGAATGCTGTCGTCATTCTTTCAAGACAACAAAAATTCACTCAGTATTCTCTCTCTCGTTCTAGCACAATCTGAGACTCTGACACTAAGGATTTAAGCAGCTTTAAGAATAATAATGATAATTCACTTGATTCCAAACAATTTGTGGTACAACAGCGTGATATATTGCAACAACAACAACAACAAAATATATGTATATACATACTCCTTTACAACATTTCGAATTGTCTTATTATGAAAATTTAAGTGATGTAAAGAATATTAAAAATGAGAAAATTTTACATTCTTAGTTAAATTATTGGAACGAGATTTTTAACTGTGACAAAGTTGATATGTGATTTCTGTTTTCCTTACAAAATATGCGTGCTAGATGAGGTACAGTTGAATTCTTATACTTAGCTGTGCGAGCACACAGTCTTATGTAATTTCCTCTTGTCCTCCCTAACAGGAGATACAAGAAGAGAACTGTGAATGAAGTGGGTTGCTCAGTGTCAGTTAAAATTACTGTAGCTGGTTGCTTGCTGGAATTTAAATTTCTGTTAACTCCAGTGTGAATCAGTTGAGCCAGAAGCACACCTCATATCACAGTCCTTTTTTAGAAGACCAGCAAAGACCAATGGGGAACAATATAGAAGAATAGATAAAATGCATGAATTAATAAATTGTAAAAGTAGAGGTTGGAGTTATAACACAGAGCTTCAGTTTCTTTATGTAATGCGTTAAACGAAACATTTTCTTGAAAGTCGACAAGATATGGGATGACCAACAAAGATCAATGGTAAATATCAACCCAAGACAGTCGACACTCGACTTACTTTCTGCAGAGCCAACATCAATCCAATAGACGTCATCGGACTTAAGCAGCTCACACAAGTGTTGTTTACTACACCTGAGGCTAAAATTAACAGTCTCACATTTAGAAGGCTTTAACTTGGGACCATCAGCCAACTGTAGCCATGAATCCATTTAATTTAGAGCAATCTAAGTGAGAGTTAACTGGAATACACACCATTGGGTCATCAGCATACTGCATAAAATTGGTTTCAACAGAAAAAGGGAAATTGTGTAAAAAGGACGGGAACGGAACAGGAGAAAGTATAGCACTTTGAGGCACACCAGCTCCAGTAAGCAATGAAGTGCGGTGCCTCCCTTTACAGACGGTATTCTGTTTCCCTTCGGACGAATAAGAACACAGCCACTTTGTAACTCATGGCTCAGTATGAGCTATCGCAAGCTTATTTAACTAGAATGGTCTAGGAACAGATCCTAAGGTTGATGAGTAATCCAAAAAGATACAACCAATATACTTAACACCTTTGTCCAGACTAAAAACAATATTATGATTCAAGGCAGTGGTAGCATTTAAAGTTCTTCTCCTGTGTTTGTGAGAAAGTTGTTTCGGACATCTGAAAGCTTTAATGAAGTTTCAAGCACAAGGAGAAGTAATTTCTTCATGGCCTTCAAAAAGGGGAACTTATAGCGATGGGTCGAAACGTAACATCTGATCCACAAGATGACTTAAGCACGAGTACAATTCGCATCTCCTTCCAACTAGCGAGTATTATGTTTTTAGAAAACAATGCATTGAAAAAATCTGCACATTTTCTAAATATAATACTTGAAACACCATCAGCACCTGAGCTTTCGGATGGATTCAGGGACCCAAGACATTTAAATATATCATGTGCCTGGAAAGCAGATGTCCATTTAACTTCGAACATTGAGAATGATGAAATCAGCCTGCCGGTGTGTTCTTTATCATCATGTCTTGTGTTTCATCATGACCAACCCTACTTTCCATTATGTATCGATAGTGAGTGATAGTGAGTGACTGCAGAAATCTTTAGCCTTGCTTCCCAGTCGAATAAGATATCAGTATACATCACTTACTCAGAACCACCACATCAAACGAATAACATGTTCACGATACGTACTCTATTAATATTATTATCATTATCAACATCACCATCAATGATAATGCAAAATTACATGCACTGGACACCTGACAGTAACAAACAGAAATTAGCAGTTGAAAATGCAGAAGAAGAAATTAATTCTGATCACAATTCACAACAACACCTGAAACACAAAAAGTAATGTCAATACAGTATGTATATCTGTTGATAAATGCATATGTATACGTATATGTTTGCAAGGGTATATACAAGCATATAATGTTTATTGGATAGATGATAGAGGCAAGTGGATAGATAGACTGCAAGATTAAACAACACTTCCAATTAATCAACGCACTGTTCGACAAAGTCCAACAAACGCCGACCATAGAATTCGGGCTTTACGGAGGTAGCATCTGTGCCATGCTTAACTGTTTTATATGTTTGAGCAGTACGCTGCGCATTCCATAACGTGTAAGTATATCAATAATAGCCACAAAGTAAATCAATGGATGAGAGCAGTCTGAAATCAAAAATAAAACAACAACGATGATGAAAGTATCATATTTAGTGAACACATTTTTGATCTAACTAGGTGAAACAAAGTCAGCCAACTGACATTGTTGTACGAATTTACACAACAGTCTCTCTCTCTCTCTCTCTCTCTCTCTCTCTCTCTATATATATATATATATATATATATATATATATATATATATATATATATATACTATTTACAATTCACAGCTTAAAAGAACATAGCTGAGATCTGCATACTGTTCAATCAAGTGATCTTTACAAAATGCCAAACTGGTTCCTATAATGTCCATTTCTGCAGCATCGTTCAACATGCATCTCGTCTGACGAAGTAGAACACACCATTTATATTTAAATGGTCAGGTCAACACCCTCCTGCACCAGTTATGTACACTTGTCTAAACACCTTCTACTCGACATCTCGACAACACTTTGATACTCTTTCAACTTCATTGTATTCTAAGCCTCCAAATACTGTGCAAGAAGTCCATTCGTCAATTCTTGCGAATGACAGATTTCAGGTACCTTCTTTAAGTTAGATAACACGTTCGAATCTACTATCTACAGAAGCTTGAGCAGTCAAATGATAAGCTTGAATAGTAAACATGCATATTTATCCAAATAAACTGCTCTTATGGAATGGTTGGAACATTGTAGTAGAAAATAGGGAACAACTGTTAATGGCACCAACTATACCAAGAGGTTAAAGAACACTGAACTTTGGAATGAGTGAAGCTTGCGAAAAAGCAATGCACAACACTCAACATTTGCATCCTCACCTGTTGAACTTTTGATTCCATAGCATTCTAAACTAGGGTGCAGATCACCTGAGAATACCTGAGGTAGACATATTGCTCTAGGTGGACTATCCGGTGGCGTTAAATCATCTGAAATAAATATATACAGAAAACATAAAGAAATAAGGCACACACAAATAACAGCAACATTTACCCTGTGGAAAATACATCACTATCAGGATCACAATACCCGGTCGCCTATTCATCGACAACAACACACAACCTGGTGCAACTGCACACACACTGCGTCTAGTCGCCTCATATTGAAGCAACATGCACAAAAGTCATCAAAGAACATAGAATAAAAGCGAACTACGAAGGTGACTGACTAGTCAACCAATAAGTTTTGATTCCCAGCCACCTGATCAGAATAGGAAGTTAGTGAATCGTCAAAGTATTGGATTGCAACACTTCGCAAATTGAATTAAAACAGTCAGGAGGCAAACTTCACATGAACACACACACACATACACAACGTCTATACGTTTACGTCAACTTGAATAGTGGTGGTAGTCGATCTATATGCGATTGACTACTATCCTTACTGACTGATTCTTATGTCATCAAAATGAAATTCCACGATGTGCTGACAGTGAGTGATGCTAATCACATTACAACCAGCATCAATTCAACGGCGAACGCAATGAGACCTGGTGTTGATGGATTCTAGAGTGACCTCCATATCACAAATCGATATCAGTCGAACAATTACCGAATACGTTCATTCCATATCTCTATCTCATTATCGTCAAACTTTCCTGATCTCACCCCAAACCTCCTGTTAGTAAAAACGTAATAGATTCAACACAAACGATAATTTGCCTTAACAATGCAAACAGTAAAACCATATTATCCTTCCGAAGACTGTATTCTGTTTATATCTACACTAAAAAAGCACAGTCTATCTACCCTACTTTCATGATCAGTTGAAGTTTCAGCTTCCACGGGCAGACCCAATATCTGAGAATATAACGTCGGCAAAATATACCTCCAAAGGGATGCCTACGAACAACACTGAACCACACATCTCCTCTTTACAAGCTATATACACTTTGCATTTAACTGGCAGAAGTTCATCACAAGCTTCTTTCTGTCTTCTATCAAGTTTTTACTTTTCCCCAACCTTTCAACTTTCATTTAGGCTATAATAACGTAGATGGTGGGTGAATAAACGATGTCACACACTAGTCAAAGTATTTCTACATCCCGCACTACTCATCGTATCCTACAGCAAATTTAGGCAACTTTATAGGTAATAAACAACTGTGTGATAATGACTACTAACGACAGCTGATATCCTTCAGTTTACTCTCCGTTAGAAAAAACAATTTCCACATTTACACAAAGGTGTAATTTTACAATTCATAATTCCAGGATGGTGATGATCACTAATAGACGAAGAAATGGAATACCTTCGAAAAGTACTTCTTCAGAACGGCTTCTCTCAAGAACTCATTCCAGAAAAAAACATGAAATCAAGACAGCGACAAGAACAAGTTCTTACGATTCCTAGGAACATTTCATACATGAATAGTAAATTCAAAGGGGACAGATAAGACAGCAGAACTACTGACCAATCGCCCTTATACAGCAATCAGAAAAACATTCTATGCTCCCGAACTGTAAACAGTCTTTTTCAGACAGGTAGACAGACAAAATCAACACAGAACCTCACACAAAAGTGTATCGGTTCAACTTGCCACAACCTGCACTAGCGTACATAGAACAAGTGGACATAAAATGACTGATATCAAAGTAGACAAAATTGAATGAAGGAAGAAGAAATTTAGAAATCAATATCAGCCAAAACATTCAAGTCTCAGAAGACATCAAATAATGAATACATCTGCGACATCGTGACCAATTTCCAACCCTTTTACCAAGAGTTCTCCAACACTCATTCCCATCGTCTTGGACACCTCAGCCACGTTATCCACATCTCCCGGAACAACCCGGACTAACAGTCAGGAACACCTTAGTCTGGCCATCCTCTTCAACCAATTCACTTCAAAGCCCTAAACCACGAGTGATTGCAGACCAGTCCTGGAGCATCATCTTACATTTAACAGGCGCAAAACACATCCCAAACATACTCAGATTTCTGCTCAACGCGTTCACAGGACCCTTACGTTTCGTCAGCATCTTTATCTGGCAGCACAATATCGTCTGCGTACTCCAAGTCAACCAGATAACCCTCCAGGGAGTAGATCAATCTCTGTGAAGTCAGACATACCTAAAGTTACGTCCATTAGCACATCCACAACGAGATTAGACAGGGACGGTCACAGTGCACATCCTAAACAGACGCCGTTAGTTGCCGTCAATTCCGATGACGACTCTCTATAAATCCTAACACGGCCGTGTGAGTTCAATCAGACAGCTTTGCATCGTTTCAGCTTCGAAACAGCGTTCACAACTTCAATGACAGTTCTCCTACTCACATCTATATCCTATTCAGGTTCAGGCTGCATGTTGGACAACTGAAGCGTTGCTGTGGGAAAGTCGAACTGGGCTTCGAAAGTTTCACGCAATGCTGTAGCAGTCCGTTCTGAAAGGTAATCAGTGTAACATCCTTTCCGGTGTCTTTAATAAGCCCAAATAGTTGTTGGCTGTTACCTAACGCTGATCCCTTCACCACCTATCTCGCTTTCGCTATCCACCACTTCTCGTGGTTGTTGTGAAGACTTGCTCAAGCTACATTAAATTTGCTTTCGCTCTTCACTGTGGTCACCGCCACCCAGAATCAGTCTTCTCCACATATCAACAATGCTTGCTCACAATTCAAAATAGAAAACTTTATCTCCCTTGGCTACAATTGTCTTGTCTCGCTTCCTGTGACCTATGAATATCAATGACCATGTGTTATCTGAAGGTCGGATGTCCATTACCATACCTTCATTATATCACTGTATACAAGTGACTGTCTAATCTCATAAATACCTTGGAATCTCAAAGTGCACTCGGCAACCGCGTCCAAATTCGTGCAGTAGGCAATGAACCACATTTATTGTGTGAAGGCTAACGCTACTACCTCGCTTCCAAAACCTCGCTAGGTGGGGTGGGGTGAGGTGGAGCGGGGTTCTTACCTGTGAACCTATGATTGAAAGTCAAGTGCCTCAAACAATGACTACAGTTCCGTTTTTGAATCCACAAATTATTGGGGAGTACAACACAATCACTTAACTAGCCGTTCGGTCTTTTGACACCATCAGTGGACATCAAAAACAACCAACATTCACTTATAGTCCCTGAGTCAACACAACAGTATTCAAGTCATCAGGAACATGTACATTCGACTACCACCCAGTCCAATGTGCAATCAACTAGATATCACTGCAATGAATTCACGCTCCCCCCCCCCCACACACACACACAGGTGCAGAGTTACAACAGCTTGTTTGGATCCTACTCCCATTTCCAATAACTTTACTTCAAGTCACACTGTGAAGCATGTGCTAATAACAACAACCAAAACATGATGGTCAGCAGTGATACACACATACACACCACCTACGCTAATCTTTAGGCAATCTAAACCTCGAGACTTCAGGACATAAATAAACCGACATGTAAATCATCCTCAAATTATCACCAGATGAAAAAGATAAACCTATGGGAGTGTGTAGAACACAAGAAGGAAAAACACAACAACTCACTTGCAGAGATTTGTGGATTGCTCTCTGGTATCAAATATCCCTCCTCTTCCTCATCATCGTCATCACCAGTGCTCACGTTCCCAGTCCCAACACCACCCGTAGCTGACGACCCTAAACCAAATACAATACTTGATCTCGTCATACATGGATAGTTATATTGACCCTGTGATACAAGTGTTCCCAAACCATCACCTGAAGATACTATTTTATCCTCAAAAACTCGACTAGCCTCCAATGCACCACCACCAGTACCATCAGCATCATCGGCATCATTCTCAGTCGAATTAGCCAAGGCGATCTCAGGATCATGTACGCCGATCAGAAGACTGTAATCAATCAAATTGTTTTCTTGTAAAAACTGTGGAAAAAGCAGTTATCAGATGCATGTTATTCATAGTCGCTATTATGAAGAACATAACACATAATTAACCTGAGAGACCTGCTAAACTTCACACTGGGATAAACACAAGTGATGATATCCTCCGATTGTTTCAATAGAATTTGTGATAGGAAACTGAAACTGGTGTTCATTTAAACAACATGCTTTAGCACTATCGATGATATATACTCCTTCAAGACATAAATTTATTGGCGTGTATTTCAGACTGAGACTAGAGGTCTGTCTTTCTCTATCTCCCTCTCTCTCCTCATCAGAGAAGTACTTATCAATCGGTAGATGCAGGTTGAACTGATATCAGCTGGCCTCGATTAAATTCGTCTCCATTACCAAGCAGCATTTTTTATACAGTAACACAAGTCCTGCAGCATAAAGTGGAATGTTTAGATCACTGAGTAAGAGCTAGGATGATACTGCTTTCCTTAGTTTGCTTCCCTACAACTGTAAGATGAATCATTCTCTCATACTTCTTGACAAACTGTTCAGGATAACTACTCCTGCAAATCTCCCAGTTAAAGTATATTCTTCTTCCACCTGGACCTCATCGCTCAAAGAATAGGAGTAAAGATAAACTAATAAATCCTAACGCATCACTAACTTATCAATTCATCAAACAACCACCTATCCCAATCACGTAAACACTCAATGAAAGTAGTATAAAATAAGTGGTTGCATTACAGAATCTTGAGAGTCTTCCCAGCTCCCCAATCACAGTTAATACAGTGCTTCGAATCTCGACATTAATAGTGTCGTCAAACAAGTAGAATATCACCGAGGCAATGCCAACTGAACAAGAAAACAGAAATCGGACATCAACAACTCAAGTGAACTAAGGATAGTAAGTACTGATTAGGTCTGTGTATATCAAGTCATGGCGAACCCAGTCGGCTGTAAGGGATGCGTCGTGACAGAAACATAGGAGGTTCAATACCAAACTTCACTAAAACGTCTGTATATCTCTCAAGAGTTAGATGGCAAGAAACACACTAGTGTAACTATTTACATGAAACAATTAAATTCCGCAACAAACACAATGACTGACGAAACTGAGTTCTGAAGAATTATTTATGCTCTATTTAAAGTGTTGAACAGACTCCACTTTTCGGTAGCCTCAAATCCACTTAAAAGGACAATATCAACTTTGCAACCTTATCCAAACTGAGAATCTCCAACAAAATTGAAGAATACTGTTTATGCATATCGACGTTGTGGGTTGTTCACCTACTAACTCAATGACAACAACTCGGGATCATAAGCCAATAAGAAGTCATGAGCGGCGAAGAAATACACCAACTCAGTGCAAATCTATTCAACTGTGGATACCAATGCGTCTATTCGGTCAAGAACACTTTGGTCTACTTCTTATACCCCAACAGTTTAAATACGCCCATTCTCGAGGTGCTCGCAGTACTGGTAACAGTAACAGTAACAAGTGAGTTGATACACATATGAACACTTCTCTTACACGATATGATATACTACTGAGACGCAATTAAAACGAAGTATACAAAGAGGAAACCACTTCTTCATATCCTTACAATGAAACAAACATGAAATAATGTGTATTTCGTACAGTCTTTGTAGTCATTGACGACAGAAACTTAATGAGTCGAAGAAAGTTGAAATTCATTTTCTCTTCTACACAGAAACAAATAGGGAAATAAAAGACCAAGATAAGGTTAACCAATGACGAGGTGATATTCAATAAGATACAACGAAATTCTTGTAGAAATCTCAGGTCATACGAATATGGCATCATATCACTGCGAATGCCTAAACTGTTTTATGCGGGTCTTGACTTTATGTGGTCCTAATATCCATCTAATGGATTTAAACAAGTACTACGACTTCAGCACAAGTTGTCCACCAAATTAACTTCAGTACAAAATGATCACAGAACAATTTATTAGTGAGCACGTGCCATTATTCCGTTCAGGTATGGTTAATTTTTCATATTACAGATACTATTATGCAGGAACGTAGGCGTCCTCTAAAGGTTCAAGGTGCCAGACAAGAGCAAGATACTGATCCCTTAAAATCAGTTAACAAAACAGTCATCCAAAAATACAAAAGAATAACAATGAAAACTCTAATTAAACGAACAATATCAATATTCACATTGAGAATAATGACGATAGTAAGAAGAATAGACCATATGAGAGAAGCAAAGCAAAGCTCACTTCTTTTCGTTTTCTATTTTAAAATTCATCTCAAGGTTTGCAATAAAGACAAAAGGGAACGACAACGGGATCCTGACTCCTTTATAATCTCAGCCATACTCGAAGACGCCTCAAGCTACCGACTCATGTGAATTATGAAGCTCTGTCAACAAAGTCATCATGCACAAACAAATGACAAATGTATACAACTGTCCTCCATTTCATGGGCTCATTTCGTAAGTGGTGCACAAGTTTGAACCTTTCAGCTAGTCCCAACATTATCATAATACTCGATATGGAGTTTCATGCGACGATATACGTAAAGTGAGTTCCAGCTACTGGAACATATGCTTGACCGTAATTCAATCAAATGAACAACGTGTCAACACACAAAATAAGAACTCACAATTAATCATGCAGTATCACCACAAAGTAACCTCGCCTGGTTAACTAGTTCACTAGTTACTAGCCGGTCCTAAGCCCGGGTAAAGAGGGAAGGTTGGGCATAGGGCTAGCAACCCTACCCCATAAAATAAGTCCAACCGCTACAAAAACTTCAAAGCACAAATAAAATGTAGAAAATCAAAACAAAATTATTCCTCGCTGGAATCGGAGAGACGAAATGACGCCGGTTGGCCGATGTGTCTCTCTCTCTCGATGAAAGCGAAAGTAAACATGGGGACATGGAATGTCCGCACCATGTTTGAACCTAGCAAGGTTGCCCAGATTGCAAACGAGATGAGAAGGTACGGCGTTGAAGTGCTAGGAATCTGAGAAAGCAGATGGAATGGAAGTGGACTCTCCAAACTGTCAACTGGAGAGTCAATAATCTACTCCGAAATTGTCACCCAGACGACAACCAAGAAAACACTGAGGAAATGGCTATCATGATGTTCCCAAGAGCATCGAAGGCTCTCACGCAGTGGGAACCAATCTCCCCCAGGATCATGACAACAAGGTTCAACTCAAAAGGAAGGAAGGTCGCAATCATACAATGCTACGCACCCACAAATAATGCAGAGCAAGAGAAAATGGAGGAATTCTACAGACAACTCCAATCAACACTGGACAAGACATCAGTTGGTGACATACAAATCCTAATGGGCGACATGAATGCCAAACTCGGAGCGGACAACACAGGAAGAGAACTAACCATGGGTCGAGAAGCGCTAGGTGAAATGAACAAGAATGGAGAATTGTTTGCAGAATTCTGCGCATTCAACGATCTGGTGATTGGAGGCGAGGCACTGTGTTCAAGCACAAGGATATCCACAAAGCGACATGCATTTCATCAGATGGACACACTAAAAATCAGATCGACTTCATCTCAACCTCAAGAAAGCGGAGACGCAGCCTACTTGATACAAGGTCAAGAAGAGGAGCAGATGTAGGTTCAAACCACTATCTAGTGTAGGGAACCTTCAAATCAAGTTAAAAGCCTTCAAGGAAGCTAGCGATAGACCACAGTTCAAGTACAACACTCGGAAACTGAAGGATGAAACTACAAAGGAGATCTTCACGTCAGTCATCAAGACAAAATGGGAGATATCGAGGAACATCCCTGAAGAAACCTGTGTGGAAGAACACTGGAAGTCTTTGAAAGAGGTGTGGAAAAAACCTGCACAACAGTATTAGGAAGGAAGAAGAAAGAAGACAAGGAATGGAATGGATCTCGACGGACACATGGAAGCCGATAGAGTAGGGAGAGGAGGATGGTGAAGCAGAAGATAAACCAGTGCATGGATGCTCAACGACAAGAGGAACTGAGTACAATGTATAAAACACTGGACAAAGAAGTGAAGAAGAGTGCACGGAAAGACAAAAGACACTTCTACGAAACACTGGCAAGTTAAGCAGAACAGACTGGAGGCTGGTAGGAGAGACCTGACAACATTGTATCAAATAACCAGGTTGCTATCTGCAAGGGAAGAGATCAACGCAGACGAAACTAATAAAAGATGATGACGGAAATTTAATTACGAAAGTAGAGAAACAAAAGAAACAATGGGCCGACCACTTCAAGAAGCTCTTGAATCGACCACCACCTGCACCCGCTGAACTACAAGTGAACATGAATCCTCCAACAAAAGTCGAAGTCCTGAGAGCCATAAAGCTACTGAAATTCGGAAAAGCAGCAGGACCAGATGGAATCCCGCCAGAAGCACTGAGAGCAGACGCAGAAACAACAGCGGATATACTCACAGCACTATTGCAGAAGGTGTGGAAGGTACCTGCCGATCGGAAGAAGGGTTACCTTGTCAAACTTCCGAAGAAGGGAGACCTCAGTGTTCGCAAGAACTGGCGCGGAACCACGCTCCTGTCTACCCCAAGCAAAATATTGAGCCGCATCATCTTGGAGAAACTAAAGGATGCACTGGATTCAAAACTACGACCGGAACAGACTGGATTCAGGAAGTACAAATCATGTGAGGATCAAATTGCAACGCAACGCTACGCATCATCATAGAACAGAGTATAGAATGGCAGTCAACTTTACCTGCACCTCAACTTCATCGACTTGAGAAGGCCTTTCACAGCGTCGACCGAGAGCTAATTTGGCAGTTGCTTGAATATTACGGAGTGCCATAAATCTTTATCAACCTCATTCAACAGCAGCTATATGAAGACGACGTCACATGCCAGGTAATTCACAATGGGAAGCTCAGCTCAGTGATGCCTTCGAAGTAAAGACAGGAGTGAAACAAGGCTGTCTACTATCACCCACAATATTCTTCATTGTGGTCGACTGGATCATGCAACAAACAGTGAGGAGCTGTGAGAAGAGGGGGATATGCTGGACCGCAGAAAAGAACCTAGAAGACTTGGATTTAGCCAATGATGACTTATGTCTGATATCACACAAACTCGAAGATCTACAGGCGAAAACTAACAAGTTGACAGAAGAGGCAGCGAAGACGGGACTTCAAATGAACGTAGAGAAGACAGAGGTGATGAAATATCCAACCAACAACACCAACAACAACAACTCCAATCACCATCAAGGGGAGAAACTTAAAAGAAATAGCCCCTTCACCTACCTAGGCAGCACTGTCTCAATTACAGGCGTCACTGACATAGACGAGGGCGTCAAAGCCAGCCAGGATCGGAAAAGCAAGGCAGGCGTTCATTAACCTGAAACCAGTGTCGAGATCTTCCGCACCCAACATGTGGAACAAGATCCGGATTTTCAACACCAACGTCAAGCCAGTGCTTCTGTATGGTTCAGAGACTTGGCGCGCTACGAAAGGCATTTCCAACAAACTACAGACATTCATCAACAACTGACACCTACGCTGGCTCGTTACTGAAGATCAGATGATTGCCAGAATAATAAGAATAAGAACTATGGGAACGAACCAACCAAGAACCTATCGCTCAACAAATATGCCGAAGAAAGTGGAGATGGATTGGGCATACACTGAGAAGACCGACTGGGGACATCACGCATCAGGCTCTCGAGTGGAACCCTGATGGGAAGCGACGAGTTGA